GGTGAAGGAGGTGATTTGGCTGAGGAGGCTGTTAGAGGAGATTGGCCAGGAGCAAAAGGTTGCTACGCCGCTGTTTTGTGATAGCAAGGGAGCTCTTGGGATGGCCAGGAACGCTGTGCTTCATGGGCTCAACAAGCACATGCGTATCAAGTGGCACTGGCTGCGTAAGGAGGTGAAGAGGGGGACGGTGAATCCGATCTACATCAAGACTCACCAGCAGCCAGCAGACTTCCTCACCAAGAGGCTTGCGGATGAGCCACATTAGCGTTGTGTGCGCATGAGTGGAATGAGCATGAACTAGCATGGAATGATGGGGATGCAGCCGGCAGGCTGAGGGGGAGTGTGTTGGGTGCAAATTCACATTGCACGACATCCTGCCGTCTGTTTGTACGAGTATGCGTGTGCGAATGCATTTGGGTGTGAATGGAATGTTCGTGTGTTTGTTTGCTTTCGCAATTTTCGCTTGAAGCATTTGCAGGTACTCGCGCATTGTGCGCTTCGGCACAACATTGTACGCGCTATGAACAGTACAAGCAGAAAGGACGAGCTCGCAAAGGAACCCAAGATGGAAGCTTTGCGGTTCGGTTGAATTGATTGCGCAGATTCAGTTCTATCCAACTCGAAATTGTACTGTTTTGCTTGGTTGACTATAGTGTAGCAGAGCAGGCACTATAGGGGTACAATTTAGGTGAAGGTTGGATGTTGTTTGTCTGTATCTGCATGCTACAGGTCCAGGGGAAACCAGCGGAACCAGCATTTGGCTGGTTGGGCAAAGACAAAACAGGTTCTGCTTTTTAGGACCTGAACCTGGTTGTTGTTTTCCCAGGTTGGAAAAACAGAACCAGAGGTTGTTTACCAACCTACCACCTGCTGTTTGTCCAGCCAGGTTGGTTCTGTTGCTTGGAATTATTTGGGATCATCCCTGGTTGTTCCCAGGTTTATTCCCAAGGTCCTTGCTAGCTAGAACTATTTTATTCCTTCTCTGTTTGTACCTGGATATAGTCAATTTGATTCAAGCGAATTCCTTCCTTCCTGGAATTTTGTTTCTATGCGGTACGACGGCAGAATGCTACCCGAGTCAACGCTAGTACGCTAGCACTCCAACACTAGGCAAACGCTGTCCGAGCCATAACTTCGTTATGGCAGAACTTTTCGCGAGGCAACTTGGTTCATTTTAAAGCTCTTGGAGCGAGCTTCGATATAGGAAACTCTCAGCTTAATCCGATCCACGGTCTGCACGATACGCTGCGCGACGTTCAAGGTACTCTTGCTGTTTTGACTTAGTCCCTCTTGATCCCTCTCTCTACAATCTCGGACCCGAGGATAGGGGCTGGTCTTGTACCAGGCACCCAAGGACCCTTGGAGGTGACCCCGAGGAGAGGTTTTAAGTTTGATAAAGTCTTAATAGCTTGAGTTTATTAGGCCCTTACACCAACACTTTCCACATCCTGCAGGTGCTGCTGCTCGGTTGTGCTGAAGATCACCACATCATCGATATAGCAGGCCGCGCATTCCACTCCCCGCAGCACGCTGTCCATGACCCTCTGGAACACGGCTGAGGCGCCCAAACGGCATGTACAGCCACTCGTAGAGCCCGTCCGGCCCATGAAAGGCCGTCTTCTTGATGTCCTCCTCCCTTATCTTGATCTGGTCGAACCCTTGCCGCAGGTCCAGCGTCGTGAAGAACACTCCCTCTGCTAGCTTGTCAAATATCTCTTCCGCCATGGGCATCGGGTACCTGTCCGCTATGGTGATCTTGTTGAGTGCCCTGTAGTCCCCACACATCCTCCTACTCAACACCTCCCCTGTTAGGTCCCGCCTGGCAGCTACCATCGTAGGCGTAGCATATTCTGATTCTGACCTCCAAATCAGCCCCGCTTCCAGCAGCTCCTTAATCTTTTCTTTCCAGATTTCCTCATCTCCGTGTGGCATCTTTCTCCGGAGGTGAAATACTGGTTCCGTGCTGCTCAACTTCAGCTCCATCTCTTTCACCTTGCATCTCCCTAGTTCTTGCATGGTGAAGGCGAAGCACTTCCTGTGCCTGGCCAACAGCTGCTGCATGGCCTCTTTCCCCTCCTTGCTCATCGCCTCTCCCACCACCCATTTTTCCTCCTCCTGGCAGCTCCACGCTCCCCGAGGCACTGCCTGTACCTCTCCCTCCCCTTCTTCGTGCCCCCAGCTTACGACCGTCTCTCGCCACATCCGCTGGATCAGCCACCTCAGCGCGTGGCTATCCATTGCATTCCCCAAAGCCCTCCTTCTGCCCGCCTCGCTCACCCCTGGGGCTGCTGTTGCATCTTCCCTATACCCCATAGCCAGCTCCCGCTCTAGTGCCGTAGGTTCCTCCCATTTCCGTCTCCTGTGATCATACACCATGCCCGGCCCCGGCTGCCCTGCTTCCCACTTGTACCCTGCCGCTCCCGTGTACGCCACCAGGGTAGGCAGGGCTCGTCTCTCCTGCCCTATTTGGTTGCAAGGATAGTGCCTGTGGTAGCTCTTGCGACACACCGGTGCTGGGGTCCGCCCTGGTGCCAGGATGTCCTGCACCTTCCGTTCCGTTGCTCGCTGCACCCCATTCATCTCTTCCTGCAGTTTCATGGCCGGGACCACATTCTGCCAATACATCCTGATCCGGTGTGCATAGGACCCGGTCCTGGCCGCATCACAGCTCACCCCTTTCCCCAGCTGCCCCTTGATTCTCTCTCTCACCAATCGGATCGGCTCCCTGCTGTCTCCTTCCAGATCCAGGTTTTCTAGCAAGTATGCCACCCTGCCCTGCCTCTCCTGCAGCCACTCCATGATGCGGAACAGATCTTCCATCAACCTTGTCCTATGATCCTCTCCTCCCCTCCCCTTGCCTGCCCAAGACACTCCTTGGCATTCCCACCCTGCCACCAGCAGATCCACCTGCCCCCAGCTCGCCACCTCTGCCTCTCCTATCTCCTGCACGTCATGGATGCTCCCACCCATAGCTTCTTGAATCACCTTCCCACTCAGGAGTTCTGGGAACTCCGCTGGTAGCTGCCTCGCATGGTGCTCCGCCATCCTCCTCACTTGCGGCTCCTTCTCCACGTAAGTCCACTTCTTCACTGCTATTCCACTCCTTACCACTGCCGACAGACCTGCCCCTATCCCCCCGAACAGCTCCACCAGATGGATGGGCTGCTGCCAATCACTCTGCTGCCTTGGCTCGTTCAACCACTTCATTATGGGTCCTGCTGCTGACCCTGCTGTTCTTCCCTGCTCCTCTGCTTGCTGCTCCCCAGGCAGCTGTTCACCCACGGCCTGGTATGCTCTCTTGGGCTCCACCTTCACAAATCGCACCGGCAGCTCGCCCAAAGGCCCTTCCTTCTTCCAGTACCGTGTTCGAAACTCGACCTTCTCGGTCCAAGTGCATATGGTCATTCCCACCGCGAACACTAGCTCAGTGCCCACCAACACATCGAAGTTCTCTGACTCTGAAATCCCACACTTCATACGGATCTTGGTCTCATGCTCCCCCCCCGGCAGCAGCGTCACTTCTATGGGCGTTCGGGTGCATGGCATCCACTTTGGTTCCCCTCCCTCCGCCGTCATTACCAGCATCCCCTTGGCCACATGCCTCTCTGGCGCTAGCAACCCCAGCCTCTCAGCCATCCCCCTTCCTAGCATCACACTCTGTGCTCCTGTGTCTATGATTGCAGTTTTCACCTTCTCTCCCTCCACTTCCATTGCTCCCCTTTCTAGCAACAGCACTGAGGTCTGGCAAGCTAGTCTTTCTTGGGGATGGCGTGCTGGGGTTCGTTCCAGGGCCGGCTCGGCTGGCTTCTCTCCCTTCGCTTGTTTCTTCCTTCCCTGCCGTCCTTCCCTCCGCTCCTCAGCCCCATTTCTTCTCTTCCTCTCCATGCCATGAGCGCACACTGCACATCTTGCTCCACCTCCTCCTCCTCTTCGTCTCTGGCATACATCCCTGCCTCGGCCTCCCCTCTTTGCCCTGTTGCCCTCAGCTGTGCCTGTAGCCTGCTGATCTGCCGCTGCAGCTCCTCTGGGTGCCTCTTAGGCCCTCCCTCTCTCTGGTAGCAGTCCTTTGCCTCGTGTCCTCGTTTCTTGCAAATCTCACACCTGGCTGCATCTGGGCATTCCCGTTTCCTATGCCCTGGCTTCCCGCAACCGTCACAGTTCTTGCAGTCCCTGCGTAGATGTCCTGGCTGCCCACACCTGTGACAGGTCCTGGTGTCAGGTCCTGTCTCCCCTCGCCCCTCTATTCTTCCTCCCCCCCTCTGGTATGATTGCCGCTGCCCACGTCAGCCTCCTGCGTCTCTCTGTTGGCCTGGGCAGATAAGCCTCGTACTTCCTCTGTGCGAGCTCCACCCTTTCTGCCAGATCAAACACCTCTTCTAGGCTTGCCTCCGCGCCCAGCTCATACACTCTCATCCTCAACCCCCCCCCAAGAGCCTCGTCTAGGCCCCCTAGGAACTTGCTGATGAGAAGGCTGTTGTCCGTGCATCTCACGTCTTCCGCCACGTTAATCAATCTGCTGTAGTAGGTCAGCAGTGAATCCGTCCGGCCCCTTCTAAATTCCTGGAATTCCCTTATGCGCTCCGCCGTGTGTTTTGGGAATTGCCGCTGCAGTCTCTCCAGAAAGGCCTCGGTGGGGTCTTCTCCGTACCTCCCTGCCCTCCAGAGTAGTTCCTCCATCCTCATGCGGTACAGGGTCTCGGCCTCTCCCTCCAATGTGTTCGGTAGGCTCAGGAAGAAGTCCACCGGGTCCATATCGTGCCTGTCGCAGCGGTACTGCACATTCCCCACCTGCATCAGGTAATTCTTGAGGGTAGGCCCCGCGCGCTGATCTCCCGAGAACCCGGCGGGCACCTCCACTCGCGGGGTGCTGGCCGCACCCCCTCGCCCCTCTCCCCATGCCTCACTGGCTCCCCTTTGCCAGCGTCTCTCAGCTCCTCTCTCCCTTGCCCTTTGCATGCCTTCTCTGGCCTCCCGTGCCCGTTCTGCGCCGTACACCAGGCTTACGCCCTCCGCTCTGCTCTCTTGGCGGCTCCCTTCCGCCCCGCGGCGCCTTTCCCTCGGCCCTGCCCACTCTTCCGCCCGTCCCCATTGCTGCGTGGGCGGGTCGTGCGTCCTCCGCCCTCCCCACCTCCTGATGTCGCGCTGCTGCCGCCTCTCTGGTGACGGTGACCAGGTGCCTTCCCTCCTGCTGCGCTGCTGGTGGCGCTCTGGCGAGTGCCTTTCTTTTCCGTACTTCTCCCTCCGCGGGCGGCGCCACTCGGGCGAGCGGGACCCGCTACCATCCCTCTCTTCTCTCCGCCTCGGCCGACCCGGCGAGCGCCCCATGCCACTGCGTTCCCCGTGCTGCTGACCGGGGCGCTCTTGTGACCCCCGCTCCTCCCCGTGCCTTCCTTCCTGGCGCCCGAGCGGCTCAGGTGAGCGCGACTCATCCTTCCTTCTGCCACCGCGCGCTTGCTGCTGTTCTGGCAAACGCACGCCGCCGCCGCTCCAGCCGTCCTGCTCCTGTCGCCTACCATGCGGGCGAAAGTCGCCTACGCGCCATTCCCCATGGTGCGGATCCTTCTCCGGCGTGCGCGACTGCTCTGCCCTCCACTTGCCATCATGATGCAGCCTCTGCGCCAGTGCAGCTCGAGCACCGTCGGCTGGCGTCACTCGCTCCTGGCGCAGTGAGCCTTCCGCGCGCAGCTCTTCCCCACGGCTGACGTCTCGGTCGCGCGCTTCCCACGCCGCGGCCCTCGATTCTTCGGCTGCCGCCTGGCTCGCGCCAGCGCTCTCGTCTGCTTGCGCGGGTTCAGCCTCACCCGTTCCCGTTGCCTGGTCGTCGCCGTCATTTCCTTCATCGGCCTCCTCGACCTGCAGCCCCGGGTGCTCCTCATCTTCTTCCGCGCCTTGCTCCGCTGCCAAGTCATGTGCCGCGTTCCCTTGCAGGATCCCCACTTGGTCGTCGCCACCCATGTCTCCTCCCCGTCCCTGGGGACGTTCCCCAAAACCTCGCCAACGGCCTCTCTCATCCCGGCGCCGCTCACGCTCTTCCGGAGAGCGGAACACTCCTGCGTCGCGGCGGGTTCCACGGTCCTCGCTAGGTCCGCGTGCTCTCCCTCGCAGCCGCGCGTCTCTATCCATGCCGCCGCCGTGCCCGTCGTCGCCTGCTCCTACGCCCGTCAATCCTTCGTCTCGACGGTCCCGTGCGAGAGGGATTCGATCCGCGCGAAAGGCCGGGCGGCGCGGCGATCGCTCCAATGACCGCCCTCGTTCACGTGAAGGCTCGCGTCGCGGCCGTTCCTCCTCCCGGCGGCTGAACATCCTACCCCAACGCAATTCGTACTTATCCATATCTACTCTACTCGTTACTGCTCGAGGCCTTTTGCGATTGTAATGAAAGAGCTTAGTCCCTCACCCCGCAGGTTCCCTCTTAGTGACGTGCCTCAGTGTGCCTTAGAGCGAAGATAGCAGATTTCACTAGTTCGAGAGAATTACAATCGCAAAAGCATCGAGGGGTTGGACGTGAGTGCCCTTACCCAACCCCAGGCTGCACATTTCCAAATGTGCGGCTCGGGGTTTGGGATGGACTGGTTTCACATTTCGCCCTTTGGTGTCTTTTCCCCCTTTTTATCCCAACCGCTCTTATCCCGTTTCCCCCCTTCTACACCCCATTCTAGACAGTCACCTCGCTACGTTCTACACATTCTACAACTTCAGCTATTTCTATTCTATCTTATTATATCCAGCTATTCTTCCTGTGCTAGCAACCTAGAGCCCTGCCAATACCCTCACCCTACTGTTATGGCATAAGCATTAGGTGTATATGCTGTGACAACCTCCCCCGCTGGCACCATCACCACTCTTGCCCCCCTTGCCCTTGCCGCTCTTGCGCCTCCAACTAGGAGCAGACGCAGCCCCGACTTCCTCAGCACCAAGGTAGTCGACAGCGGCAGCAGAGGCGACCGAGGGGAGAAGGGGGGGAGGGGAACACCCGTCAAAGAAGGGCGTGCGGGGGTCGCCACGAGAGGAACCTACTGCAACTATGCTAGCCTCAGCTGCAAGCAGATGCTTCTCGAGCAGTTCAACGGTGAGCTCGGTGGGGCAGAGGGCGAGAAAGTGGTCCCTGACTGCGCGAAGAGAGTCAGGGAGACGGGTGACTAGGTGGTAGAGAACGAGGTACATCGAAGGGGGGGTTCTTGGCGAGGAACTCAGCAGGAAGGGCGGCTCGATAGCGAGTGTCACTAGTGCGGAGGTGTGTAATGAGGTCAGCGACTGTGGGAAAGGCGACAAGATCGGGGAAAAGATAGGGCAGCGAGAGATGGCCTATCGTAGCGGAGGCAGGCGAGGAGTAGCGGGCGACTACTGCATTGTACAGTGCCTTAGCAGTCTTGTGCTGGCCAAAGTGTGCGCGCTCATCTAACGGCGGGTGACTGCGAATGGCTAGGCGAGCGTGGGCGTCACGAGTCTGCCACTGGGAGCGAGCTGTACTTTCAACAGTCTCAGCAGGTGCTAGAGCGGTTCCGGATGCATGGTCATAAAGCGAGACATCGTCCTTAGCGGTGATCTGTAGGAACAGGTGCAGGTCGTCGAGCCAAACGTCGAACTGGAGGGGACGGCCCTCAGCATCAAAAGAGAGAACTGTGGGAGTAGCCATAGCAGCAGCAGTAGTAGTAGCAGTAGAAACAGCAGGAACAGCAGTAGCAGTAGGAACAGCAGGAACAGCAGTAGCAGTAGGGCAGCGCGGCTCGGAAGGGGCGGCGCGGCACGGTTCGGGCAAGGCAGCGCGGCGCGGCTCGGGCAGGGCGGCACGGCGCGGCTCGAACTAGGCTACGCGGCGCGGCTCGGACGGGCAGGGAGGCGCGACGGTGGGCCTGCACGTGGGCCGCGGTTGCGTACGGGCCGCGGCTACTCGTGGGCTGCAGTCGCGCGCAGGTGGCGCCCTACAAGAGCGACGCGGCGGCCTACGGGCGGGGCTGCAGCGCGCTGGACGGCCAGCAGGGCAGTCGACGGGCGACTAGCGGGCTGCTCGCGGGCGGCGCTAGTCGCGCGGGCGGCTAACAGTCGACGCGCGCGCGACTCGGGACGCGCGCTGGCGGCTAGTGGGCTGCGCGCACTAGAAAAAATGGGCCACGCGCGGGCGGCTAGCGAGCTGCACACGGGCAGCGTGAGAGAGAGAGGCGCACGAGGGCGGACTAACAGAGAGGCGCACGAGGGCGCTAAGGTGATGGGGCGCTCGAGGGCGCTTCTAGCGGAAGTTGGGCCCTTAGGACTAAGCGGTCCTAGGTTCCAAACCTAGGCTCGTAATACCATGTCAGAATGAACAAGAGTGATTGAACTAGTAAAAAGTTGGGTACAAGTAGGAAACCCTAAACGTACTGTACCCCATAGTAACTACCACACTACAGCCTAAACAAACTGTAGCAGATATAACATTTCACAGACTCCTGGGTGCTATTAGAGAGGTGGCTTGGGAGGAAGCCACCGATGGACATGCTGAGGGTGTTCGGTTGCATGGCAGTCGCCGACGTCCCCAAAGCCTATCGTAGTAAGTTGAAGGCAAGTGGAATCCGGTGGGTGCATTTGGGGCTAGGTGTTGATACCAACAGATGGCTGTTGTGGTATCCATCTAAGGGACAATTTTTGACCGGAGGGCATGGCGGATGGGAGCTGGGAGAATCAGACGGAGGCTAAGGTGTCCCAGCAGATGGAGCAGATCACCATACAGCTGGACCTGAATTCTAGTGTGTGGGAGGAGGGAGAGGAGGCAGCTGCAGAGGGTGGTGATGGAGACAAGGTACAGAAGGCACCTGGTGTTGGAGGAAATGGTTTAGAGACTAGCGGTAGCACTAGTGGAGCTGCTGGATCTGAGGGTGGAGAACAGCAGGAGGGAAAAGACAAGGCTCCTACACCATTATGAAGGGTGCCATTATGAAGGGATAGGAAATACCCGTCACCAGGCCAGGACGCTGACTAAGAAGCTGACTGCAGGAGCTGTTGTAGCAGAGCAGAAGCTTGGGAACGAGGAGGCCATGAGAGCCAGTGCAACCTGTCTTGGACAAGATGCGCAACCTCTATGCGAAGTTGGCGACCGCGGGAAACACCTACTCTGCGCAGACCAAGTGCTTGAAGATGCTCTCGCTGCTGCCGGAAACGTGGCTTCAATTCACAAGCGGATTGAGCCTGCCGCAGAACCAGAGCTCGTGGACGCTCGAGTGGGTGCGGACAAAGATTCTGGAGGAGGACTTCCGTCGTCGCCAACTGAGGGGTGAAGATGACAGTAGCAGCGGCTACGGGATGCAAGGGAGCCGACGTGGCAGAGGACGTGGCTTCGGTGGTGCTAGACGCGGTGCAAAGAAGGACGACGACTCCAACGACCAACAAGGAGGTGCCGGTTGGGGTCGTGGTGCGAAATCTGGTCCCGGGGGCAAGTTGGGTGATGCTGGCAAAATAAAAAGGAGTTGCTAGTATTGTAAGAAGGAGGGGCACCCCTGGTTTTTGTGCTATAAGAAACCCGATGGATGGACCCCCCAGAATCGTCACCAGGATGGTGGCGTGCCGAGGAACCAGAAAAACAGCGCGAACATGGTCGCCGATTCGTCCGACAACAACCTAAAGAGCAACGGCGACGCGGAAAAGAAGAAGGATCGCACCGCTGGCCAGTTCTTTTATATTGGAGAGCAGGCGGAGCAACGAGACGCCTCTGTCAAGGTTAGGTGTTGGACACGGGCGCTGCTTGGACGATGACGCGGCGCAAGGACCTGCTGGACGACGTACGCGCTGTACCGATCAACGAGGTGTGCTCTGCCTCTGGACACGCGCTGAAGGTGGCTGGTGCGGGGCAAGCCGGTGGTGCTGCACGACGTTCTCCTCGTGCCTGATCTCAAGGCCAACCTCATCTCCCTCCGTAAACTTGCCAAGGCTGGGGTGAGCACTAGCTTGGACGGGTCATGCACTTACAAGGGCCAGCTGGGCAATCGGGTGCTTTGGGATCTGCACGAGAGCAAGGACGTGTACAGATCCATGTGGCAGCTGCCGGCGTTGGCGTGGCACGGTGGGGGGCAGGCTAGAGAGGGGTCTGCATCCCAGGGGGAGTGCAACGCCGTTGGAGGGGTTGGTGTGAAAGTGTCGGCCAGATCTGGGGAGACAGATTGGGCAACGGCACACTGACGCTTGGAGCATGTGGCAATGCCTTTGCTGAAGCAGCTAGAGAAGGATGGGGTTGTTAAGGGTCTGAAGGTGAATGGCCAGCCACCTGATGACAACTATGAACTCTGCTTGCTATCCAAATTCACCCGTTTCTCCTTCCATAGTGTGACTGGCAGGAGCAAGAAGCCTTTAGAGTTTGTCCACATGGTCTTGGTGGGGCCGCTGCCGGTTCAAGGGCACAAGGGGAGCGGAACTTTCTGACCATAGTGGATGATTGGAGCAGGCTTATGTGGGCATATCCGCTGAAGCAGAAGGACCACGCCGCCTCTACGATACGGGAAGATTGGCTGCCATTCGTGGAGAAGCAAGCGAAGTGTGTTGTAAAGCGGATTTGGACAGATCAGGGTGGTCAGTTCCTTGGAGCTGAGACGACGGCCTGGCTCAAGAAGCAGGGCATTCAGAGGGAGCTGACCACGGCTTACACCCCGCAGTCTACTGGTGTAGCAGAACGGGCGAACCGGACAATTCTGGAGACAGCTAGGGCACTGCTCATAGAATCTGGGCTGGGCAACTTGATGTGGCCCCATGCTGTCCGGCACGCTACCGTGGTTAGGAACAGGGTGCTCACTAAGGTTGGTGATAACTCGTGGGTGCCGTTGGAGAGGTGGCTTGGGAGGAAGCCGTCAGTGGAAATGCTAAGGGTGTCGCCCACGTCCCCAAGAAGTATCGAAGTAATTTGGGGGCAAGTGCAATCTGGTGTGTGCATTTGAGGCTGGCTGCTGAGAGCAAGGAATGGCTGCTATGGGAACCATCCAATGTGTGTTGTT